TCAGAAGTTAGAGACCTCCTCAATTCAAGGTCACTGCTAGTACATGTATATCCTGGAACATGAAGGCCAGTATTCCAGTTCCTTTCAGGTGTCCTCCACAACCTTGGAGTTTGGCCTGCAAAAAAAGTAGGAATTGCAGAAAATAATTCAACCACTCTTCATTGCCAACAGATACGGTGAAATGATTTTACAGCCTCCTTTTCTCTATGCTCTACCGACTGGGGAAATTAATATAAACTGATCTCAAAGCTATGGCTAAAAGGGAATATTGAAATAGACTGTTAATCTCATTGATCCTCTGGTTAAATTTGAGGCATCTAAGTGCTTGTAGACCTCAGGTCACATAAAGCCCTTATTTTGTACAAAGATATTTTGCACTTTTGCTTTTTTTTTTTAATTTTTTTTTTAAGAAAACGCATTTCAAAGGAAGTTCAGAAGGTATTTACACAGTCATGTAAATAAGAGTGAATAAGTCATGTAATGAGAGTGAATTCTAAAATAAGTCATGTAATAAGAGTGAATTGTGTGCTCATTTGAGCTGGTAGATGTTGTTTTGAAAGACTTCTGGTCCTAGCAAAGTCAGTGAAGGTGCTTTAGATACTTACAGGCCCTGCATTGTACTGAGCTTTTTATCCCTCCCTGGTGGACTTAGGGAGTTTGAATCATCCACCAAAAGCTGAAAAGGTACTTGGAAGCTCTGCTTGTAATGATTCCTTTTACTGAAACTGTCATATAAAAGCAGGGATCAAAACCAGGAGAATGTGTAAAACTGGATATCAGCAAAGATGTAATGTAAGATGTAATCAAATGTTTTACTTTAAACCAGTGTAATTCTGATCTTAATCTTTGTAACTCAGTTTAAATTGTATTGGTGAATTTCATTTGTGATCATGATCTGTCTTTTCTGCTACATTCAACCTTGGTAAAGAACAGCCCCTGCCCACCAGTATGCCTCATGCAGAGTAAACAAATTACCTGCATGCTGACAACCTGTATGGAAAAAGCATCCGTATGAAGTTCATCTTTTGAACAAGGATTATATTTTAGTCCTTCTCTACACTTAAAATCTGACTGCTACATATGGCATGCAAGGTTTCTAGAGAGATACGTGGGCCTTGCTTTCTTCATACCTTTTGTTTTTAAGTGCAGTTTTTGTGCCTTGCATGCTCATCTTACCTTCTTGTTTCAGAAATGTATTGCTGTATTTACTTATGAGCTTAAGAAATGTTTCTGCTTGTATCTTAATATGCTGTTGTTTGTTTTTTAGATAAATTCATAGAAGAAAAACCCCCAAGCAGTAGTGGCACTACAATCTCCAAAGATTGGCCAAAAATACAGGAAGATGAAGAAAGGGTTCTCCAACTGTGTAGACACACTTTGTGGTATGCACCAGCTGCTGCAAGATCCTGTTTGGTAAGAGACACTGGAGTTACAGAAGGAAACACATTAGCCAAGTGCTCTTGGTTTTGCAGTGCCAGATGTAAACAGTGAGAACAAGTCATGAATTGATGCAGACAGAATGGTAAAAAAAGGTTTCACTGCATCACAATGCCTGACCTATTGACTTCAAGTGGATTGACCTTTGACAAATGGTTATAAAAAAGTTTTTGATAAAATCGGTCATTTTCCCCTGACATGCTGATTATGAAATTTGGTCTTTAATGAAGCCATCTTTCATTCCTATCTGGCTCAGGAGGAAAGTTGTATCTTTCTGCCTGATTGACTACCATATTCCTATATCTGTAAATTATCCACTCTGAGTGGGCCCTTTGGGCATTTGTTGAAGATGAGTTCTCTTGCAGTTAGTGCTAGTAATAAGCAGCAGAATTTAAAATCAGTGTTAGACTAAGTCTAATTATGGATTTTTGCTCTGCAAAAAATCCTATTCAGCTATGTTGCTTGGGTAGAAAATGAGACCAAGTGTCACATCTGTTACAATAGAACTGCAAAGACAGGACTATAAATAACACCTGAAAAGCAGGGTTCTTGTGCCTGTTTCTGTTGAAAAAATAAAACCTTTAAAATATGGATGCATTTGCATTGCAGTTAGAGTGGGGTTTTATATGCCCTTGTCTTGTATACTAACAGTACACCAACACTGTAAATTTTCTTGGCTTTATTAATGCAACCTATGTCTACCATTTCTGCTTTTCATTAATTCTGTCTACTACAGAGGTGTCAGGGATTATTTTATGAATCTGACATTGGTACTGGAACACAAAACCCCCATGTTTCATTGTAGAATAAACTGAAAGCATGTTAACTATGCTGTGTTTTGACAAGCGTGGAATCACTAAGTGACAAGTGGTCTGTGTTCACAATGTGTTTGTGTTGAGTCTTGCTTTGCAAAGTTACTGTGGCTTTTCAAAGAGGAGTTTGTGGACCTGAAGTTGCAAATTTTGATGATACAGAACAAACCCAAGGCTTCTTGAAAACAGTTATTTGGAAGTGCAGTCACGATGCACCTGTTACTTGACTAATGCCTGACAGAGTGTAATAAAGAAGGAACTAGGCTCTTCTCAGAGGTTCCCAGAGTTTTGCATGGCCTGGTTTTTGGTAGCAAGGGGGCCACAAAGGTGGTTCCTGTGAGAAGCTGCCAGCAGCTTCCACCATGCCCAACAGAGCCATTCCCTGATCCTCTGAAGATGGACTAGCTGCTGGCCAAAGCTGAGAAAGGTTGGTAATGCCTCTATGATAACAAATTTAAGAAGAAAATAAAAACACACAGTGTTTTTCTAACCAGAGAAAAGGAGGAGGTGAGAACATGTGAGGAAAACGACATGGAGACACCAAGGTCAGTGGAGAAGGAGCGAAGGAGGCGCTCCAGGTGCAGGGGCTGAGATTCCTCTGCAGGCCACGGTGAGGTCATGGTGAAACAGCTGTGCCCCTGCAGCCCATGGGGATCCATGGGGGATGCAGAAATCCACCCACAGCCCATGGGGGAGGTGCTCATGCTGGAGTGAGTGGATGTCTGGAGGAGGCTGCGATCCAGTGGGAGACTGGGTGGAGAGTGGGCTCCCTTGTTCCCAGGCTGGAGCAGCCTGGCCTTGGAGGACTGCACCTCATGAAAGAATGACCCACACCACAGCAGTTTTGGGAGGACTTCTGCTTGTGAGAATGGATCCATACAGGAGAAGTTCACAGAGAACTGTCTCCCGTGGGAGGGCCCCCATGGTCTCACAAGGGAAGGAATCCTCTCCCTGTGCTGCAGAAGGAAACCCCAGGTGATGAACTGACCGAAACCCCCATGCCCTGTTTCTGCACTGTTGATGGGAAGGAGAGAGGGGTTGGGGGAAGGAAAGGTGTTTAAGCGCTTATTTTATTCCCTATTATCCTCCTCTGATTTGGTTTGTAATAAATTCACTTCGTTCCTCTAATTCACTTTGTACCTCCACTGCCCTTGGAATGTTTTCTGCCTTCATGACATTGAGGTTCATTAATTGAGTCCTTATCTCAATTCATGAACATTTTGTCAATTTTTTTTCTCTCCTCTGCCCCGCTGTGGCAGGGGAGGGTGGGTGAGCGACTTTTCTGGGTAGCTGGTGTTTGGCCAGCGTCAAGTCGTGACAGATGACAAGAGGCAATGGGCACAGGCTGAAAACATGAAGGTCAGTCTGAACATAAGAGAGGATGAAGATGGTCACTTATGAGGACGGTGAAACGCTGGCACAGGTTGCCAAGAGAGCTTGTGTATCTTCCATTGGTGGAGACAGGTATTCAAAATCCAATGCATATGGCCCTGTGCAACCAGCAACCAGTTTAGCCTGTTTGCATAGTGGGTGGGACCAGATGATTTGAAATAGCCAGACAATTCTCTGTTTCTGCAAGGGTTAGCCTGACCTGAGAGCCAGATGCTGGTTACCATGACAGTAATGCAGGGAAGCACAAATTAAGCAGTGCCAGTGTTGCTTGCAGTAGAGGAGCTCTGCAGCACTAGATGGGTTCCTTTTCTTCTCTTTCACACTTTTCCCTTGTACTCCAAGTCATACACTGGAATGTGTACTCTTCAAGGAAAGCTGAGGCTGGGAGTGGCTTGGTAGCCAACCCAGCCTGTTTGGGTTTGAGTTTTGCATCTCTCTCCAGCTGGCAGTCACTGTGCTGTAGTGAGAGCCTCAGAGGTTCTGTTTTCACTCCTCTTATTTTTCACAGCCTTCACTTATGTGTTCTTCCACACATAAAGAACAAACTTCTCAGTAAAGCCAAGTGAATAGCACTCATCTGGACTGCACTGGGGTAGGTCCTGAGGGACAGACAACTAAATCCTGAGCCTGTGGCTTTCAGGCAAGGGAGGGCGCTGATTTTAGAAGCAGCACTTTGTACAGGGAAGAAGATGTGGAAATAGTTTGTTGAAGTGAGATGTAGTTCCAAGTAGAATACCTTCTGGGGAGGTGGAACAAGTTGTAATTATAGGTGGAATTTTGTTGAGAGTAAATGCTTTTCCAGTACCTCCCTCCTGCAGTAATTGGACTGCCACAATGGCTGCAAAACTTTATGCTATTCCTGATGCCACAGGGATAGCACAACTGCTGCCCTCCCAAGCTGTCAGAGGGAACTGATGCTGCCAGTACAGCATGACTTGTTCATTATTGCACATGGGTAAGAGGGATGTGTAGAAGGTTCATTTTTTTTTCACGTTGCTTGTTCACTCTTGAACGAGGTCCAAAGGGATATTTGGAAGGTGCTGTTCTGGGCCATAGCCTCTGGTCAGACTCCTTATTTATAGCATGTTGTGAAGGGTATGTTTGTAAATGCCTGGATGACACACAGAATAGCAGTGTTTGGAGGCCTATTTGAAACCTGGTGAAAATAAGACACAAGTGTGTTAAAGTTTCTCAGCTTTGTCAGTTGGGGTGGTGTGGTGGTTGATTTGGAATGACAAGAATGGAAACATGCTCCAGCTATGCAGATGGCAGGATGCTATAAGAGAACCAAGTAACTCAGTGTCTTGAACAACACAAACACAAGTTCAAGTTTATTTATTTCATTAAATGCAGCTCATGGTAAAATAGTAAGTAAAGCATCAGTCAAAATCAAAATTTCACTGGTGTTTCTGTCAATACCACAAATATCTTTGCTAAGATGCACTTATAAGGTACAAATCAAACATTGGTCATTATTACAGGTGGCAAGGAAGCTTTGCAGGTATTAACCAGGAAACAGGTATAACTAAGTAAAATTAAAAAGAGGAAGCAGATTTAAATTCTAACAGGTTTAGATTACATATCAATAAAAAAGGTGGTAAGAAGGCATGTTGTTAATAGTTTGCTTAGCATTTTTGCTGGTTGGAAATCTCAACAACCTTAAACTAAAAAATTTAGGAAAATGAGGAAAAAAATGCAATGTGATTAGAAGTCAGCAATTTAATATTAAGGGTTGGACAATTTTCTCTCACAGTCTTACTTTTTCAGAAAGCTGAAAGAGCAGGAGAGAATGAATGTGATGTGCTTATATACATGTGGTGAGACAAGGGATGGTAAGGGGCATTCTGAGATTATTCTGGATTTGTATTAAATTTTGTTAAATTCCAACAGTCATTGAAATTTGAAATTAAGGTTGTAAAATAGCATTGCAGTACAAATGCAGGTTTCCCAGTGAGGGAAGGAGAGAAAAAGAGAGCATACAGATTTCTACAAGTTTGTTTTTTTTCTTTTCAGGGTTCTTTATCCTCTCTGCAAGAGTCAAAAGAATGAATTGCATTTCCCTTGTAGTCAGCATTTGACATAGGGCTGTGTGCAGAGAGCTTTTATGACTCCACTTACTTTTATACAACAAAGCCAGAAGAGCAGGTTTGATAAAAAGGAGCAAAATTCTGTGCTTTCTTTTCTGTTTAGGACTGTCTCATTAGGACAATAGAAGGAAACAGTAGAGGGCTGTTCTTTGGTGGCTCAGGATAGTTTCTGTTTGCTGCCTTCTTTGAGGGAGGTTGGTTGGAAGGAAAAGAACAAGCACTTCAGTACAGGTGGCTACATGGCTTAAGGTTGAGATTTTAGCACCACAGTTCACATTTTTTCCATTGAACAGTGAACCTTGGTTGCTGTCTGAGAGCAAGTAATTATTCATTCTACAGGAGAGCAGAATCTACCAAAAAAAAGGATGCTCCTGGACTTGTTGTGTCTGATGAAGAAGTAGAAAGGGTGGTCAACCCTAAATTTCAGAACATAGCTATCATGTGCACTTGTTAGTTCTACAAGGACAGCAGTAGCAGCAGCTGCCTCAGTGCCCTTCTCATCAACTGCAACAAAAGACTTGTGGAAAACCTTGGAGATCATCACTCTATCCTTCTCTGTCATTCCACTGAAATCAGCATTGCTGCTGAAGGCACTGCGCATTCCCATCCTGATCAGATTATCGCTGAGGTCATATCTCTCTTCCATTTCGAATTTAGGTAGGTACAGGTCCACAAGAGTCTCGGTCATCTTCTTGGAGTCAGTCCATTCGGACAGCCTCTCAAATGTCAGTTCTCTTTCCAGCTATCATTTAAGAAAGAGAAGGAATTTGGTTTTTGCAGGGAAAAACAATTCATTAACTATGAATTAATAAATTTTATGACAATGCAATGAATTAAACATTTTAAATAGTAAATGTAACATTTAGCTGAAAGCATGAAAGAAGTTGATTTTACTAATGATCAGAGACAAGGTGTGCCACAAGTATATGAGTCTTAATGCTGCAAAGTTTTGAGCAGTCCCCTTTCCAAATTCATAGCAAAAGAGAGATAGGAAGGGCATTCAACAGCTGCCATCCTCTATGGTAGCTCTTTCCTCTTTTTAAATTCAGTCCTGCTGTGACTAAAATTGCTGTGTGGCACATAGTTTGGTCCAGTTCTATAAAAACAGGTGTTAAAATTATTGCATATATTTCCTTGACAGCTTTGAAACAAAGTGCTTGCAGCAAAGTCTTTCACTGCCACTCTGTATCCTGGGCGCTATGCCACCAGGGTTCAGCTCAGATCAAATGGAGGAAAGCAATGAATGGTATAGACTCCAAGAATTTAACAATCTTGGAATTATATTAACTACAGTAGCAGATCTCATTGTTGTAGCAAATGCAGTCTCACTAAAATTATAGTTTTTTATCGAGCAGGCAAATGGTGGGAGGGGAGAGGGGGAAAAAGAGTGAGAACAATATGGAAATAAACATCTAGGCCATCAAGAAAAGGTATAATTTCAGGAAGAACCTATGACTTTGTATGTGGTGGTGTCTCTCCTGAACGTGCAAGGAAGGGAGATTCAGCTGTTACAGATCATGTAAAATTGGGTGTCAGTCAAGGGGGCTGCTGAAGAGCTGAGCATCTGATTATGCAAAGTGTTGCTCTGTCTTCAGTTCCTGCCAAACTAAGGGTGCTCTTATGGAAGAACTTTCTTGGGATTAAAGAAGTATTAAAGAAAATTAATTCAGCTAGTGGATGAGGTCAAGCAGCATGATAGCATGTCCTCAGATAGGGAGATATTATTGTCAGCCTGCCCTTCTTTTTTTAAATGACTGAGTAGTATACAAAATGGTTGTACCTGTTCAAGACCCGTAGTGTTATCTTTGATGTCATCAGGAAGGAGGATGAACATACTGAGTTCACGTTTCACATATGGCAACTCAATCATTTTGAAATTCATTGCTTCCATGATGAGGACTGGAAATGTTTTTCTCATGTACATCATCTTTACAGGCTTGGTCTTGTTCTGGAAAGTATTTTTTTATAAGTAAGAAATCATTGAATGGAAGGGTGATGATGTCTCAGTGTAGGGAGAGGAAATTTTATAAACTTTTAAAACAGTGATTTATTGTCCATTTTCCAAAGCTTTTCTTGACTGAACAACATTGCTTATCTTGGTGTCTGTCCCAAAGCTTTTGTAGGGGGCTGAAGAGATATTTTTCTCTTCTCCCCAAGAAATGCCTAAGGAGGAAGGGAGTTAGAAATGTCTGGATTGGGGGTATGGAGCATGTGTGGGATATGGCCTTACAACACTCTGGCAGAAAAGCAGCTGTGGTTTAAGAGGATGTGTGTTGTGCAGTTTATCAGTGATCTCCTCTCTCTGGTGATAAAGTTAATTGCTTGGAAAAAAAAGCTGATTGCTTGAGAAAAGATAACTCTAGTGTGAGAGAAAATGAGCTCATGATGAGAAGAGTTCCTGGGAGACAGTCACTTTGTCAGGAGTGTATAACTTCTGTTAACATCTGTATCCCTTCATTCAAGGAAGCAGAACATGTGTATATGCTAACCAGAGAGAAGAAGGTAGATTTTGTGGAAGTTGCACAGAATTCTTTAACTGTGAATTCATTAACATCTCTCCTGGGTACATGCCATTAACCTTGCTTCTAGCCTCATGCAGACATGCAGCAGTTCAGGGCACCCTGTTGCAGCTGTGTTTGAGCAGGAAGGATTGTGCCCAGCCTGGTTGCAGAGCGCAGAGGCCTGGTGCTCTACTCAACCATGACATGCCATGTACTTTCCATCCGTGGAGCCTGGACTCTCAAAATCATGTTTTTACAATTTAGTCAATTTTAGCACTGCTTTACTGAAAAGTTTTAAATGTCTGTAGTGATTTTGGAAACATTAGCTGTTACTTGGAGCTCACTAACATTTACCTGAGCACATCCTAATGTTTCAGTGAGCTGAGAACTGACAGATTTTGCTGCAACCAGCTTTTCACAGGATCTAGTTACCACAGGGCTTCCTAAAACACTTATGAAATGGAAAGATTTCAGCAATAGATGTTGTGACCAGGTTGTTTACAGTAAGAAGGAGGAACTTACCTTGCTCAGTCGGAAGGGTTGCAGTTCTGTATCTTCTGCCTTAAATTTCGCTTCCCATTCTGCCTTGAAGTAAATGGCATTTATCAGGATCAGCTTGGTGGAGTTTGTCACATCTCGTGGACCCAGCAAATTCTTGATTTTGCCTTTTGAAAGCATAAGAGTCAGGTTTCATTTCAGTGTAGCACAGTGAGGACATTTTGATCAGTTTTTCTCTCAGTTCAGCTTCTCAGTAAAAAGTCCATGCCTCAATGCTCTGCTCCCTAAAATGCTCTCCTGAGATAAATCAGTGTAATTCTTTACACTCTCCAAAGCTGTTTCCTGACCTGTCCTCCTGGCTGACAGTGATTTACTCCTCCTTCCAAAGCTGTCTCAGCTTCATGGCAAGCAGCTAGAAGCAGAAAGCCTCACTGACTGGTTACAGCAGGTAGAAGGAGGAGCCCCTCTGCCCAGTGCAGGGTGGTACAGCAAGGCAGGCATCCCCCCCTGCACTGGAGCACTCTGGTAGGCAGAGGTGCCTTTCCCCTCTGTCTGCTCTGCCAGTGGTGCAGCACCAGGGCACGTTTGTGCCAGCAGACCAGCTGCTTCAGAGCACTGTGGAGTCACTGGGAATCTCCTCAGGGAACTCAATGAGGCCCACATCAGGTGTTTGGAGCTGCTTTAGCGTGCTGCTCTTTGTCTGTCCTCCCACCATGTCTCTGCTCACTGCCCATATCCACTTTGGAAGGCATGACTCAGCTGCTGCAGTAGCACCTGGGGAAGCAAGGGCACCTGCCCAAGGGAAAGGGCAGCCTGACTTTGTGGGAGAGCAAAGATGTTGGGGTTGAGCCCAGCTTACCCTCAGTTTGTTTTTCAACCCAAGTGTTGATTTCCTTTCCTGTCTGTTCTGGTGCTGTCTTAAAGTTAACCTTCTGTGGGTCTGCTTCATAGTAGCTCTTACTGAGCTGTATGTATGTCTGGAAAATAACAAAAAAGTGAGCAAAAAAGGTCTGTGCTAGAGAAATAAGCTACTTTTAGTCCCAAAAGGAAGTTGTTGGCTCTTATACTTGATTGATTCCTTGACCTGAGGACTGCAGGATCTTGCCTGTTATTTTCTGCTGGACTGTGGGTTAACAAGTAAGAAATAACCAAAGAACAGAAATTTCACATCTTTTGTTCCAAGATTTATCTGGAGAAGTGAGGAAGGCTGCATGCATCCTATGGATGCGCTTATTTAATTTCTCATTTACAGTTTTATATATTGAGGGTTCCAATACTAAAGACACATTTCATGTAAAGGGTTGTAGGGATCTACAATACAGTCAAGGGCAATGCATCCTTAAATTCTGTGAGCAGACTGACTGGTATTTTCCAGTTAAGGATATCACTGGAGTCCAGAGCTCCTATTTGCAGTATTCAAGGTCAGCTTCCCAACTGTTCTGTTAATGGCAAGTAATTTAAAAGAGAAAGATTTTTGCACTTTTTCTTCCTCTTCCCTGAGATTTAACTTACAGGCAATAATAGGAAGGTTTTTTCCACGTAAATGCGGTTGGCACTTTTCAGGGAGTAGGTGCTTCTGGGTTTGTTGATGGTAGTCAGGAGCTTCTTGAAGCTAGAATGAATATCTGCAGTTTGCTTGTTCTCAGGATCCTTGGAAAAAGAAACCAAACATTCAGCAATTTAATTTTTGCATCAAGCTTTCAAAACATGCTAAGCAATGCATATAGGAGAGGGATTTAGGTTCCTCTTCCTTACTTTTTTATTTTCCCAAGTTTACCATCACTGCAAATTTGCAGAGCTCTGTTCATGACTGGATTAACTGAATTGTCATATAACAAACCTTCCAGACTACCCCACTGACTCATCCTCTCAGCTTCTGAGAGTCTGAGTGAGTGAAAGGAATTGAACATCATCCTCCTGTGAAGTATGGCTGGGGTTTGTACTTTAAAGAGGAGTGCAGACAATAAATGCTGGACTCCTAAAACTCTATCTGGACATTTTGGTTCTTTATAATGGAATTTCACTTCAAACAGATACCAATTTTCTTCTCTTTGGTCTCCCCCGAGAAGGTCTGGCCACAGAAGAAGCAGCTTCAGCTCCTGCTCCCACGGTGAAATGAAGGACCTGCAAGCAGAGTTTTCAAAGATAAGAAATAGGCATGAAGGGCCTTGTGAGACTTAAAGTCAAATGGGGATCAAATGGTTGTCATGTTTCTCTCCTTGTGATAACTCACTGTGCTATCTGCTGCTTAGGGGACTAATCAAAGGGCTGCTGAAGATGTAGTGACAATAAATCCCATGGAATAACAATGAGTAGCATCATACCCCTCCCAGACCACCAACACTGTGCTCTTATCTACATGCTGCAAGGCAGAACTCCATTCCACAGCTGTTTCTCCCAACAGCAAGAATGGGTTTGTGCAAATCCAAAAGGTTCTCCCCACAATAATAGTACAAAAGTAACCTACCTCTGCCATCTCAGTTGCTGTAGTTCCTTTTGCTCCCAGGTATGTCAGAGCCAGAGCAGCTGATATGCTCCAAGGGGAGAAGAAAATGTTTTTTCCCTTGTTCTTCTCATTCAGCTTGTTGAAAAGATCAATAGTAAAGTTGCCAACTGATGTGGAGACCACTTCCATTTTTACAACCTGGAAAGACGCAACAAACAGAATTGTACTCTTTGAATGTTTAAATTTTTGTACATAGTACACTTTAATGAGAACTATTGCATGTGCAAAACAATCCCTTTAAGCCACTAAAACTAATAGCATAGTTGTGTGTTTATCTTCCACGCAGATACTGGTTGCCACCTGTTAGGAGCACCAATTTCTTTTAGGTTTTTTCCCTCTACAGCTGCAGTTTTCTTTGTGATTCTTTCTGTCTTTGATCTCCAAAGATGTGCAGATTTATAACCTCTGTATTTCTTTCCTTTTTTGTTCTTAACTAATGATTTGTGAAAGCAACATTCACAGGGGAAATTATATGCATTTTTAGTACATTGGTTCACATTTTAGTACGTTCTTTGAGTTTCCCACTACTACATTTGGATCTGTATAGAATTGACAGCTGATACTGCAAAAGGATTTAGGCATAATTTTTAGGCTCATTTGCTTTTCCTGGCCAGCGACCTATTCTGAGTATTACCATGAACAGCAAAGCTGTTGTTTCTATTTAGACTTACACGGTTTATTCATTCTGTGTACCTACCACCCTTTATGAATGTTCCAGCAATTTTTTTTTCCCCCAGAAACTGCCAGATGCCTTGAGGTTATGACTGCTCTAGGCTTTAAGATATCTACCCAGTAATAGCTGCCTCCTGTAATTTACCATTTAAAAAAACAGAAATGCTTAGATTATTCTCATTGTCTTATCTATGGAATGGAGCAACAAAAATTGTGGGGCAATCTCTGAAGTCTGCAGATATTTATGAAGTGATTGGTTTCCAGACAACTACATTCTTTCTGGTAGTCAGTATGCCCTCAGGACCATGTCTGTACCAGAGCGATTTTCTCTCATTAGAGAACACAACCAAGAGAGCATCAGGATGGGAATTTCTCTTTTTAGCTAATGAATACTCCTCTGAGTCTCTGGCCTGATAATGTGCAGTGCTATGCCTTCATCTGAAGTACAGAATTCTTTTATCAAAATGAAGATTTTACTTGTAATGCAGTTGCTGCCCTAAGAAAACTTTCCTGCTTGTGAATAATTCTGCCCCAAATTAGCAGTTTTCCATAGGCTTACAGCATTATTTTCTCTAATGGTTGACATTTAGAAAAATACAAGGCAAGAATAATGCATTATTACGCAGGTGTATTATCATTTATCCATACAGTCACACATGGAACAGATTGCATTTAAAAACACCATAAAATTTACTTAAATTGATTTAAGTATTTACCTTTAATCCTGTGAGAGAGAAGACTTAGGTCTTGTCCTCAGTCAGGTTCTGCATGTGTGTGTTAAGCAATTTTTAAATTAGGGAACACAGTACTGTTTGCCCCTCCCTTTCCTTTTTATCTGCATCCAGGTTGTGCCCACCTACCTATTACAGTGGCTTTAGACGGTCACTGGGGTGAGAGAAGGATGAGAATCTTGTTTCTTGATCAGAAGGCTTGATTTATTTAAATAAGATATATAATACATTATACTAAAAAGAATAAGAAGAGAAGTTGCAGAGAGCTGCTCAGCTAAGAATAGAATAGAAGGAATGAATAACAAAGTTCTGTGTCCAGGGAATCTGTCTCTGAGCTGCTCCTATGATTGGCCTTTAATGGTACACATGGAAGATGAGCCAATCACAGGGGCACCTGCTACATTTCACAGCAGCTGATAACAATTGTTTACATTCTTCTTTTGGGGCTCTGCTTCCCAGAAGATGGACAAATGTGAAAGAAAGGATTTCTATGAAAAAATGTCTGCGACACCTACCCAAAGTTCCTTTCTACCACATCCCCAAAAGATCTTACAAAGTTTTGGCCTTTTTGTTGACCTGGTCACTTTTCAGATTTAGAGATTTCAAAAGGACAATGGAATTAAAATCCCAAGTCTGTTGTTGCACCACAATAGCCTACTGACAGGATAGCAAAGCAAGTTGCTGATTCTGAAGGTTTTCTGGTGCTGTGGAGATAACTGCTGTGTTGTTTTAAATAGGTGAATTTTGAAAAGATTACACAATACTTTGTTTTGGTTTCTGGATTTAAGCAGATATTGAGGGTCTGATTCTCTGCTCTGTCACTCCTGAGTTTCAAATGCAGTACCTCAGCATAAAACACCAAGTTTAGTGATTGAATTGGACACTGGGAGTCCAGCTTCAGGCTGAAGATTATTAGGAACACAGAGACAAAGTTGTGAAGGAGGGCAAGGGAGGGAGACCCCACTGGTTGGTGAAGGAATCTCATTGCAGTCATGGTTGGGAATCATTTGAGACAAACACTGCAAAACCCTGAGTTGCTGCACAGCAAGGAGGAGGGCAAGAATTGAAACAGCTCTGCTGGGAGGGCTCAAGCTAAGACAGAGAGACACAACAGAGGTAAACATGGCACAAGAGCTGTCGCTTTGAAGTCCCAGAAGAGACACAGTGATGGAAGAAGAACAAGGTGGTAACAACTCTAAGACTCTAGAGGGCAGCGGAAGGAGCAGGAAAGGAAGGAAATTGTACTGTTTGCTAAGCATTGTATTGCAAGCCTGATTACAGGAATACAGTGGCTCAAGAATTCTAAAAAATGTCAAAAATCAGTGTTGTGCAAGGCAATGAAGAAATGCCAGAAATTAAACAAGTGCTAGTTTTAGTATAGTGAGTACATCCTCCACAAATCTGGATAGGAGAAAAGTCAACTGAATCGTTAGGTGGTGAGAAAGCCCAAGCCAGGAGACTGCCAAGTCCCAGAGATGTATCTGTGAGCAAGATAATTGCCTTTGCTAGTCAGGATACAAGGAAGCCATACAGGGTAAGAAAGGGAGATTGCAAGGCAGAGTGGCTCTTGAAAAGAGAGGAAAAAAATCACAGATATTAACTGAAAGGAGCATCCAGAGATCAACCTCCTGCTTGGAGCAGGGCCATGGGTAGATAAGGTTAGCCATAGCCCTTCCAAGGATGAAGATCCCACAACATTTCCAGCACTGCTCTTCACTCTGGGAAAAGGTTGTTCCGTAATGTACAACTCACTTTTTCTATGTTGTGGCTACTGCCACTCAGTAATGATATGGCACTGCCAAAAGGACATCAACTGTGTCATCTTTGCAACCATGCTTAAAATAGTGAAGGAGAGAGAAAAGGTGACTCGTATTTCCATTGACTTTAAAGGCCTGAGTGAGTCTGTGTTCATGTTGTCATAGTTTTGTTTCTCCTTGGCCTTCCAGGTGTGACTTTTCTGTCTTTATTCCCAAGGGTTATCAGGAAGTGCTTAAGAGGCTTATCCATGGGGACATGCTGCTCTTCCATGAGGTGAAGGGCGCATGGCAGAATTGGACTGAATGCTCAGGGATCCAGTGTCATGTTTCACAGCTGAGACAGGCAGAAGGCATTTCTCTTGGGACTCTAAAGGGATAAAGCACGTGCTTCATAACACTTTTCCTACGTTACCTCCCATTTGGGAAGCAGAGCCAGAAGGGACCCAGGGAGCAGCTGACCACTTGAATGAAAAGAGAAAGGATGCAGGGACAGTCAGCTGTCTCTGCCAGGAGAAGGGAGTTCTGCTGTTTCAAGAAAATGTGTTTGTAGTAAGATAGCTGTTGGTGTGTGCAAGTCCTTTAAGAAACCTTGTCCTTTGCTGTCTGTTGTGAATTCATATATTCAGGAGCATTCCCTGCAAACATGCATGATTGATCAGGGCACTCTCTTAGGAGAAAGAGTATTGACAGGAGTAAATATGACCTGGGAGATTCATATTCATCTTCCAGAAAGCACTTATGGCCATTAGTATTGCTTGTATTAGCTGTAGACTTGGTTCTCCCATTTTACCTTGTCTCAAACCAGTGAATAAGTGGTAAAGTAAAATGAGAGCAAAGCAGTACAGTGCTAGGCTGGACATAGTGTTGTAAGGGTGAAAGTTTACAAAGGAGAAGGTTGTGAGGCACATGTGTTTTATTTTCCTAGTTCTATAGTGCTGTTAAATATTTTCCAGTTGCTGCGGGACAGAGATTAGAAAGTACATGTGTTAACCACTTTTTGAGCAAAAAAAACAAGCACCAGTATCAGGAACAAAGGTGATTTTGCAGGTTTATTTCATTGCCAGTTCTGCCAGGCTGCAGTTTTTTACCAGAGTTGGTAAAAAACTGACAAGACCGTGGGTGAGTAGCCTGCTTTGGGGATCAGCATGAGCTGAAACCAATGGAGATGCAGCAGCATTCTGCAAGATTTTCCTGGGTTTTCATCTTCTTAGGTATCAAAACTTTAAAGTTACTGGTTGAGCTCAACTCAGTCCGTTCTGAATTGTCAAAGTTCAGGTTCAGAAAGTGCTAAAAAGACACAGTCATGTTCTTCTTTGCACAGTTGGGTACTTAGAGTGTGCAAGTATTTGGGGGGGTTTTTGCCAGGAAAATGAGCCAGAGGCATAAATTTGAGGTTATTTTTCATAAAATACTCTCGTCAAACATTGAGAGATTTGTCAACAGTACAGGAAAATTAAGAAGTGCACGGGCTATTGAGACGTTCTTTTTGGTGTGTATTTAGTTCATTTTTGTTGTTGCAATAACCTGTTTAGTAATCGAGCTTCTAGGGGGAAGAAAACCTTCCCAAGAAGAGGATAGTCTTGGTCTTGTTGTGCCTGATAAAGAAAAGGAAAGGGTGATCTGCCAAAAAGATAATAGTAGCACCAAGACTTCGTGATGCCAGTGTTGCCGCACTGGCAGCAGCTGCCTCTGTGCCTTCTTCATTGACTTCCAGGTAACACTTGTGGAAAACTTGTGACAAAAACAGATCACCAGTCTTGGACATTGCTGTGAAATCAGCTTGACCTTCTGTGAAGGCATCTTGTATCCCCATCCTGCTCAAAGTAGATTTGAGGTCATATTTCTCTTCTAACGTGAACCTGGGCAGATAAACTTCCATGTTCATTTTCTCCATTAGTTCTGGATTTGTCCATGCAGACAAGTTTTCAAAAGTCATTTCTCTTTCTAGCTGCAGTAAGTAAAAAAAATATCAGAAAATTAAAATATGTTCAAAAATTTGGGCTATTTCTTCTTTTAAATGGAGAACTTTTCAAGAGGTTGTAAGAGTACAAGAAAAACAGTAATGAAGCAGCAGTTTGGAAATATGTTGTTCTAAATGAGAATGTTGTTCTATAATATATCAATGCAATTTTTGAAATGTTCTCAGTAACTGTCAGGGAATATAGTAGAGCTATGATAGTCTGGCTGTTCTTCTCTTCCCAGGGCTGTCTTCCCCACATTTTAGAATTCACTGAAAAGAGCTTTCTCCTGCCCCTCAAACAGCACCTTAAAAAATAAAATTTCTTAAGGGTTTGTTATCCAAAGGCAGAATCCGGCTTTTTACAGAAGGTGGCAGTATCCATACATATTGGTTCTGGACATCCTGGAACATAACAGAGGCTGCCCAATTTTTGGTGGGTTTTTTCCAGATTGAAATCATATCTGTCTGAATTGGTGTGGACAGTGGATCTCAGCAGGGCTGGTTTTGTGTCCTCATTTTTGTTCTGCTGGAAAAGAGGTAATCCTATGGGGTTTGGGTTACCTGTTTCCAGGACTTATGAACTTTAGCAACCACAGACATGCTGGCTTCCAAGACTAAGAAATCTTGTCTGAGCTTCAAGAGCTTCAAGCTCACAGTACCAGACCAGATTTGGGATTTGTTTTACTTTGAGCCTCATCAGTATCCTCCTTCCTAGAAACATGACTACAGCCTGGTCTTTTACCTCACGCATGCATTAAGTAGTTAATGACACACTTACTTTTCCACAGTAATTATGTTCTCAATTTTTTACCTTTTGTAAGCCGGAGATGTCACTTGGTAGCAGGATGAACATGCTGAGGTCATTATTGACGTATGGAAGCTCAAGAACATCAGCCTGAACTGATTCTATGTAGTTTAAGTTAAATTTATCCCTCAGGTACATCATGGGCACTGGTTTAGTTGTATGCTGCAACAAATCAAATGGAACGTTTTACATTTGTACTCTGAACAGTAGAAGGACTAAGTTAAAGTAGCCCTGTTTACAGGCTGCCCAATGTGTCTGAGACATCCTAATGGGTAGGACACAGAACACAGGATCTTCAGAGGACCCCTGCCAGGCACTGGGAGGCATGGCATGCTACCTGAGATGTCTCAGATGACACCAATTGTAGGAAACTGTATGTCACACTGATTTGCTGAATGGTTAAAAGTGAAAATGTAAAGAACTAAACCATACAGTTTTGTTCTCCTCTATTTTTTTCCTGCCTTTGGAGAATGGAAGCTTTTTTGAAGTCAGCTTCTGATAATTTATTTGTGCCTCAGGGCCTGGTATGTGTGTGTAGTTTTAGTGTTGAAAGTGTGGTGAAATAAATATACTGAATGCACTGTATGCTTTAAATGAAATAACTATACTGCCACATGGATTTAAAGGGTGACAGGATTTCTCCCTCCCCCTCCTCTACCCCCATCTTTTTCAGGTTTTTCCCCTTCAGTGTAGAAAATAGGGCAGTATATTGCCATACCATGTTTATTCTGAAAGGCCTTTGCCTGGTAGCTGCAGCTTCAAACTTTGTTGCCCAGTTTCCTTTGAAGTAGAGTGCATTTATCAGGACTAGCCTGGTGAGTGAATCTACTGATCCAGGAGGCAGCAGATTCTGGATTTTACCTAGAGAAAACAGAGGGACAATCACACATCTGTACAGTTTCACTATTTCAGTCTAAGAGCTGGCACAGTTTCTGGGGATATAAACCAGGGAAATTTTAAGTGCTGCCATAGCACTCATCCAGCTTGAGATTATTTGCAAATATGTAGTTACTGGGGTATTTACAAAGAAGAATAAGCCATATTCCTCACACACTGAGATGGAGGACACTAATTTTAGTAAGAGCTTGTTGGGAGATGAGTAATTTAGGAAAAGTCTGATTTACCTTTCTGAGGTGAATTGTTTACCTGCCATGGGCCCCTTGGGCACAGAGAAGCCAAAATGACTCCTTT